GTAATTGCCTGATGCTCATAAAAAAACTTAAACCAGTGTAGCTCCCAAGGGTCGGGTCATTAAACAATAATGAGTAGGGACTTTATAAATATGATCATGTAGACTTGAACATCAACGTGTAGCCCCCAAGGGCTGGCTTAGTAAAATAATATTGAGTTGGGACTTTATATATACTTCTTGGAAAAGAAAATCATATGATGTAACCCCCATCATGGGGCTTGAACCCATGTCCACAAGGTTAAGAGCTTTGTGTTTTACCAACTGAGCAACGGATCCTTCAATATAATGGATTAAGACTTGTGTACCTTGAATTGTTGACAGGAGCAATTGGTAACCCCCAAGGGCCGGCTTATTATGATGTGATGAGTCGGGTCTTCAATAAGGCCAATAAAAATGACTTTGCATTAGCCCCCAAGTGTCATGGTGCATGCTTGCAGCGACATGAGACTTGCATATTTGATGTAATCTCAACTTGAATAATGTAGCCCCCAAGTGCCGGGTCGTAAGCCTGCAGCGACTCGGGACTATTCCTTCCATTGTAGAATAAATCATATCCATTGATAAGATAATAGCCATTGCGCGAAAGCGACTTTGAAAACCTTAATCATAATACTGATTATTGATAACCATAATAAAAATCCAGCCATGTTGGCTATTAAAGATTTGAATAATATAACCCGGTTTGAAAACCGGTTCCTGTGATATTGAATCATACTGCCGGTTTAGGATACCTGTGCAGTAAGGGCGATAACCCAATCTTTAGAAGCCAAAACTTCCAAATATTTATGATTGTTATATGATGGCGACTTATCATCCAAAGTCAAGCCGGGTTAATCGAAACCACATACATGCTTCAGATATGAACAAAAAGTCTCAAGACAAACCCAAAAGACTATTTTCAAAAAACTTAAGTCAAACAAAGAGAAAAAAGCGAGGCTTATGATTCGAATACGATCAGTAAGCCAGACCAAAAGGGGTTAAGCTAGGATTCGAATACGATCGGGAAGCCCCCTAGTGGTTTTGGCGTTGTGCCGATCAAGAGGGTACCGACAACTATGTTCTCTTTGGTTCGAATACGACCTATGTTTGAACAGGAAGCCTCCAAATGACCTTGAGAGTTTTTTAACGACTCTGATTCGAATACTATCAAAGTCGGACCCAAAAGGGGTTAAGCTATGATTCGAATACGATCAAGAAGCCCCCTAGTGGGTTTGGCATTGTGCCGATCAAGAGGGTACCGACAACTATGCTCTTTTTGGTTCGAATACGACCTATGTTTGAATAAGAAGCCCCCTAGTGATCATGAGAGTTAACGACTAGATTCGAATACGATCATGAGCCGGACCAAAGGGTTAAGCTGGATTCGAACACGATCCGCCCCCAATGGTCGTTGAAGTAGGGTACCTATGTTTGAGTTGTCCTTTGCAACAGACTCTTTTTGGTCCCTTTAATTTTTCTGAGAACTCAAACTTGTGAGTAATGAATTCGTCTTAAACAAGGCATTGAGCCGGATATTGAAAGCTTCAGAGCTTTGTGGGAGACAGATTTCCCTTGAGACGGATTGTAAACCGGATATTTGAGAGCTTCAGTGAGACTGACTTCCCTTGAACCAGATTTTAAACCGGATATTTGAGAGCTTCAACGCTTTATGGGAGAGAGATGTCTCTTGAACCGGAATCCTTTCTGATGACCCGGAATTTCTTCATTGAGCCGAAATTTTGTAAATGTCATATACTTTTTAAGCCGGAAATTTTCTGACGGCCTTTAAATTTTCATCAATATAGCAGTAGCCTCTGGGACCGGGTTATTTTTCCCTTCATCGTCCTGGGGTTCTTAAATTTGTTGAAACTGGCAAGATTTGCTGAGTTATATCATTGTAGCCCCCGAGTCTTAAGACGACTCGAGGAGTTGTCTTGAGATTCTCCATGTTTGGCTGTGATATAAACTGGCATATAGCTGAACAACGAAACGCTGTCATATGTTGAAGCTGGAAGCAAGGTGGCGAGTTAATGATCTTCGCAACACTCATTGTATATCCTTAGTGTTGATAACACGATGTGAATCCACGAAAACTTGAGGTCGACCGCGGCGTGTTATAAATGACCCCATATGATTTGCGTCAGTAATCCGGCCAACGGTTCATCCCAGCTGGTTGTTGAATTTAAACAAACCACGGTGGTGGCGACTCATGCGCTTGTCCTTTGAGCCATCCGGTATAGGCGAAGGCTGTTAATATATTATGGCTTGCTTCAGAGTTGTTGGAGTAAATTGGCCCGTATGGCGGCGGCTTGTACACATCCATTGGGCCGCTTGTATGAGCGGGTGTGACCCTGATATGCTGATATCAATTTGTCCGCAAGGACGGCAACTTGGTTGTTTTCATTGAGCAGCATGGCACGGCGGTATAACACCACTTTAAAGTGAATAATTACCCTGCATATAAAAATATACAGACCAAAGTAAAGATAAACAATTTTTGACAAAAACAATATGTGTCAATAGCACAAATTTAAATGGATATCATCTGATTCGTCTGGATGATAGACGGACTGTCCGCATATCACCTTGGTAATGTTGCAGCCCATCCAGCGTAAACATAGTATTCCGACGATCAGCCATCTCTTCGTTTAGGAGTGTTTACTGTTCAGTACTGTTATCCTTATGCGAGAGATAATTTTTGTAACCTTGCTGCGGAACCTTTATACTCGCCAATTTACAGGATTGTTTTCCTCTTGGTAGATTTTTCTCTAAAAGCTGCCAGTCATTTTAAATTCTCTTTGCCCCTTCACTGCTTGTCTTTCCCACTCACACTCCATTCTGCTCATCAGTTGGCCAGGTTCCCAAAACCAAAGTATAGTAACCTCCACACGCAGCTTCTGTTGGCTTCATGGATTCACCGAGTGGGTATGGCTTGACCCGAATACTCAAATTTTGTTAGATTCGGAGCACTAAATTCTATAATCTGCAGCTGTCATCACCGGACAGATAAATTACGCAGCCAATAGTGGTTTCTGTACTTTCAGATTAAGCACTGGGTAACAACGGCCCAGGCACAAACACTCCAATGCATTGTACTTGGACAAAAACGGCTTGAGATCTCCTTCCAACATGTGAACAGACTGGCGATTCGACACTCATAGCTTCACAGTAACACTCAGATTTTTAAGATATCAAAAACGAATATTTTCAAATAAAGAAAAATAAAACTAAAAATAAATAATAAAACAGAAAAAGAAACAAAAAGAAGGAATAAAACGGAAAATAAAAACAAAAAAGAAAAACATAAATAGAGAAGAAAATGGAAAAAAATGAAAACAAAAAAGTAGACAATAAAAAGATTTAAAAAGAAAGTTGGACATGAACGCGTCGTAGCCCAGTTGCTGTGCCGCTATGACCTCGATGCCGAGATCCGAAGTTCAAATCCCTCCTTTCCATCATGTTTTCTTATCTTTTCTCCTTAAAGAAAAACTAATGGGTCGACCCGCTTAGAACTCGTAAGCGGGCGAGTCCGAGTTACGACTCGCAACGGGCGATAAATAGGGTCTGTGCCGTGGAGTAGGCAGACCAAGCGGCAAATTAATCGATTGGAAGTTACGCTCTGTCTGCCTCTTCGTCTCCAGGTCTCCTCATCTCAGCATCTGGCTAGGGTGCTCGCTGCTCGCCGTCGCTCTGCCGTCTGCTCCGAGACACCTGAACTCATGAAGGTAATTCTGCCTCCCTATTGTTGTGTGCGTGGTGTTCGGCAAATGAACGGATTAGTTATTAATTTCTATCTTTTATCAATTTGATGTGCTAAAAGAATGAAAAGATAGGAAAAGGGAAGTGGAATTCTTTTCCAAGGGGATCGGTTCAACTTTAAGCGCTGAAATTACTTCTGAATCTATTGCTGAAAATGCAAAACAATCTGGGGAGGAGCAACCTCTTGTAGATGACAATCCAAATCTAGTTAATATGCAAACTGATGACAGTTCAAATCTAGTCGAGGTAGTGCCTGTGGGGGATCTCTCGAGAAACTTTGCTTATGTCCCTCGTGGAGGACATCTTGTTGCTCCTTGCGGGAATCTTTCAGAATTCTTGTGGAGGATCTCCTCGGGTTCCTCATGGAGGGTTAGGTACTTGCCCCGAAGGGATGTACTCGCCTGCAATCATTCGTATTTTTTTTACAACGAAGCGCGTTTGTCTGTTCCTTTGTGAGCATCTCGTGAGGAGATCTTCGCCAAAGGACTTGGCGAGGTGTTGTGTACACTTTACAATAGCAACCCATACATATATACAGTTTCAGCCCTCGCTTGCGGGATGCTCTCGTGGGGAAAAGATACTTGCGCGCCTCTTGAGAGGAAAGTATATATGCTGAGATGAATGCACACGAGTGTGTTGGATGCTTGCAACAATGACACCTAGGGGTGTCGTCTCCTTCTTGGAGGCGCTGTCATGACCTATATCTGTGCCCTTTTGCATCATCCGGGTAGCCCTAGGTCCAGCTTGTTGGACTGGACGGCGACAACGCCACAATATCATTTTCTTTTTACAAAGGCACTGTGTAGTTTCTTGGCGGCGTTCTCGTTCTTGAATTTGGAGATGTTGATCGTCGTGTTGATTCAGGTTGTTTCTCATGGATCGTTGAACTCATTCTATACTTTTTCTATCAATGAAAATACTTTTTGAAAAAAATACATAAACTTTGCGTATTTGTGAAAAAAATTGTATACATGTCCGAGTTGTATACGTGTTAGCCACCGTGTCAGAGTGGGTACGTGCTGGTTTGCTAATAAGTCCTCGAGATCCCCACGTCTCCAAACCGACTCCACAGTCCAATCCCCAATCCCTAATCCACCGCTTGCCTGCCCTCGCGGATCTCTCCGGCCGCCAACCACCGCCGCCGCCCGCCGACCGACCCAAACCCGGCGCCCCCACTCGCCGCGCGCCGCTCCCAGCCCCTCGCAAACCCACTCCCCTCCCCTCCGCACGTTCCCGGCGGCGCCGGCGGCGCAGGCGGCGCGATGGGGAAGAGCGACTTCCTGACGCCCAAGGCGATCGCGAACCGGATCAAGGCCAAGGGGCTGCAGAAGCTGCGGTGGTACTGCCAGATGTGCCAGAAGCAGTGCCGCGACGAGAACGGCTTCAAGTGCCACTGCATGTCGGAGTCGCACCAGCGGCAGATGGCCATCTTCGGCCAGGCCCCCGACCGCGTCGTCGAGGGCTTCTCCGACGAGTTCCTCGAGGAGTTCCTCACCCTGCTCCGCCGCGCCCACCGCAGCTCCCGCGTCGCCGCCACCGTCATCTACAACGAGTTCATCGCCGACCGCCACCACGTGCACATGAACTCCACCCGCTGGGCCACGCTCACCGAGTTCGTCAAGTTCCTCGGCCGCGAGGGCCACGCCAAAGTCGAGGACACGCCCAAGGGCTGGTTCATCACCTACATCGACCGCGACTCGGAGCAGGCCATCAAGGCCAGGCTCAAGCGCAAGAGGGTCAAGTCCGACCTCGCCGAGGACGAGCGCCAGGAGCTCATGATTGCCCGTCAGATCGAGCGTGCACAGAAAGCCCAGGCTAATGGTGAAGAAGACGATGATGCTAATGCTGATGATGACCTCGGCAGCGAGGATGATGAGTATTCGGGATCAGACGAGGATGATCAGGAAGAACATCAGGAGGAGGGGAAAGAGGCCAATAAGCCAACTGGGAAGATTGCCATTGCGCTCCAGCGGGCTGTGCCGCCGCCTAAGATTAATCCTTTTGATGATAAGCCAAAGATGAAATTTGGCTTCGAGGAGGAAGAGGAGGAGGTGCCCAACAAGAAGGCGAAAGTTGCAGGGAAGGCAACGGACACCAGGAGGTCGGCAATTGATGATCTGATGAAGGAGGAGGAGAAGGCCAAGGAGCGGAGCAACCGGAAGGACTACTGGCTGTGCCCTGGTATCGTTGTCAAGGTGATGAGCAAGTCGCTGGCCGAGAAGGGGTACTACAAGCAGAAGGGATTGGTGAAGAGGGTGATTGATAAGTATGTCGGGGAGATTGAGATGCTGGAGAGCAAGCATGTTCTCAGGGTCGACCAGGATGAGCTTGAGACTGTCCTCCCGCAGATTGGTGGGCTGGTGCGGATTGTTAACGGGGCTTACCGGGGCTCGAATGCAAGGCTGCTCTCAGTGGACACAGAGAGATTCTCCGCCAAACTGCAGGTTGAAAAGGGCCTCTATGATGGGAAAGTTCTCAAGGCTATTGAGTATGAGGACATTTGCAAGGTTGCTCAGTGAGATAGGATGGAGTCTCATTTCAATTCCAGAAGCAATTCCAGCGGCATTTGCAAGGTTGCTTAGTGAAATGGAGTTATGGACCCAATGTACTAGCTCTGTCTGTCTTCCTGGCAATGTATGTGCAACTATGCTTGTGCTAGAATGTTGTCTATCTAAGAAGTTTGAGGTGTCGATATTTCTAGTTCATTCTTGCTGCTGAAAGTGCACTGCAAAAAGATCATCTGATATTTGTTCGCCTTCTGCTTGGTGGCTAGAATAATATGACAATTTTGCAACACTTGCTCAACTTCTTCATATTTGTTTACAGTCAATCTTGTTACCAGTTTTTAGTTGTATAGTATTGGTAATATGAGACATTCTGGACTGGAAATATCATTGCGGCGCTTCTTGCTTCGGACAGTTAACAATTTCTGGACTGGAAATATCATTGTGGCGCTTCTTGCTTCCGACAGTTAACAATTGTGCATCCTCTGCTTTTACCGTATGACTTCTACCTTAAGAAAGCTGACAAAAAGGCACTCCATGTAATTGATTAAGTTTGCTGCATAGTTTTTGTGCTCTGGCTTTGTCATCTTACTATAAGTATTCCTTCAAAAAATAGTATACATGTGGAAATGCCAATCACACTGGAGAGCTCTATCATGATTGTTCAGGCAGCCCCACCTGAATTGTTTGTACCTTAAATCTCTTATACCAATTAAAGTAGTGATCTAAACACTCTTACATTTCTTTACGGAGGGAGTACCAATATACTGTTCTGTTTTCAATGGCAGTGAGACACTTTTACCTTGTCCATCTTCCCAGTCTAAAGAAACTCATCCAAGTTAACTTTGTTACCTTAATTCTGTCCACCTTAACAAATCTTCTTCAGCTTCCTTTATAACATATGGAATATAACAGGATATCCAAGAAGCTGCTTTTGACATAGATTGCTTCCATTCAATTGCTGTATGTGCTTTTTATCTGATAACTCAGTTCAAACTTGCCACATGACAAATCACTTCCTAAACAACAATGTCCTGGGGAGTCTCCTGTGAGATTATAATGAATGTTGTATCCTCAATTTATTATGGTATTCAATCCAAAATACTTCTCATGAGTCATGAGTCATGAATATGACCCTTCGATGGTTACATTGTATCACTATCCATAAGACACTTCAATTCCTCCGAGTTTAGTGTTGCAATCCATAGCTCATACTATATCATTTATCTTGTTTTCAATGGCAGTGAGACACTTTTGCCCTGTTGATCTTCCCGGCCTAAAGAAACTCATCCTAGTTAGTTCTACTCTTTAGCTTCATTTATCGCATTATTTTTTTTCTGCGTCAGCAAATAAGCATATGTGGATATTAAAGGAGATCCAAGTGGCTGCTATTGAGTATTGACATTGAAATTCTCTATGTGCTTTTATCTGATAACACAGTTGAAACTGGACACATGGCAAATCCAACACTGCCCTGAGTTGTCTCATGTGACTGCAATGAATTGTTTGCAGTCTCCTGAATGTTATGGTATTCAATCCAAGATACTTCCTCATGAATACAGTCCTTGGATGATTATGCTGTATCACTATCTGTGAGATACTCCAGTTCCTCTGTGTCTCATACTTCATCATTTAATTGTTAAGGTGTCAGTATAGCACTGTAGCCATGTCTTGACACATGCAAATTTTATGTTATTGGAAGGACTATAGAGTACAGACACAGCTGTCTAACCGGAACCATTATATCTTAAGCCACACAAAAATAAAAATATATATCTGCATGGATGAAGCTAAATCGGAATTTTCCTCTTTACAAAGTTCTGATGGACAGTGTATTGTCCCTATCATGGTAATCATTGTGCGTATGCTTGTTTCGGACCATAAAGTTTCCTGATTGGTTGGTTGAATAGATTTGGTAGGTCTGACTGCAGAAAGTGACCATGTATTTTAAAATTTCATTTACATATTTCGGTCCCGTCAGACAAGGTAGATAATGCAAGTCCCTTTTTATCCTCTTACTACAGTAACTATGGATTTAGCTTCAGTAAAAGCTAAATCCATAGTTACTGTAGTGAGAATATATTATGCAAGTGATTGTTATCATCTACTGTTGACATTTTATCCTATGTGTTTTCTGCTGTGACTCGGTTTCTTCCAGAATAAAGCATCTGCCATACTATAACCACTTCTGTAGGTAGAAGAATATAAATTACCAATATTCATCTTTCAGGCTATCAGTGATTATCTCCTGAGAATATGGAAGTGATCTCCATGCATGTGCCAGTGCTACCGTCCACGCCAACTTGCTTATCAAGGAAGTCTGTGCCGGATCTGGGTGATTTGTGTCAGCTATGTGGCCAATGGCATGTGCAGCCTGATCTCTGGTACCTTGATCTGCTCAGATGCCATGTTTTCAGTTGCCATGTGCATGACATGTTACCTTAAGAAAGAAGGGGAGCAACAGTTACTTCAGTTATGCATCTGGTGCAACAATTTCCGCGTGGCAGGGGCAGAACTTCTTTGCTTACTTTAAGATGTGACCTTGGTTCTGACAGCAATTTCCATCTCGTTTGAGATGTGTGGACAGAACGAAAGAATTGCTCAAGTTCAGATGCAGGTATTGCGGTTGATGTCCTGTGCTGCCCCTGATGACTGGAAAGGAGTTCCAACTTTGTGGTATACAGGCCAGAATAGAGAGCCATCTGATTCATATATCTCTCTAGTTAAAGGTACGTGCTGTATGTTATCTTATAAGAGTGATCTGCCTTAGTTCTTGGTTGCTTAAATGGACATCTTCTGATTGTACTGTAGTACTTCGCTGTACCGATATGCGTAATTTGGCTAACTTGTTGTCTTGCAGAGAATCCCTGTTATTAGTTTACTTCTACAAACATGATGTCATCGCTCATGTCCTCCTGGGAGCAGAAATCTCTCGAATTAGCAACAGCGTAGATTGTTCTGTTTTTGTTGCCCAAAACTCAAACTCAGAAGCCTCTCCTTTTCAGGTGAACATGGATGCAGCGGAACTTTGCCTTCAGGAGTGAACTAAACGTGGGAATTACAGAATATCGTGAAGTTTGAGCACGACATCGACAAAATAACCCCCAAATCCGTGAATGATTACCAGAAGGAAAACAGAGGAGTAAACAAATCCAAATCCGTTAATATACTATATTCCGCAAGCACCTTTTTGTTTCAGAGTCAAACACTAAAACCTGCAAGAGTAGATGGGCAGTTCGCGCTGCCACCTAAAGCTAGGACTAGAGCAGTCCTTTTCCGATACATGAACTGTTATTTGGCCTTGCAGCAATGATGAGGTTGAAGCAAATCATGGTGGTGGTTGCTCAGATAAGCGGAGCAGAGCGGGCGCTGATTGCTCATCATTAGCAGGGGATGAGAGAATCTTCCATCAGTTGGATCGCACTTTGAGAGGTCAGGTTTCTGACATGATATTGAAAGAACAACCTCTTCACAAATATAGAATAAAATCCAGTGGCCGTGTCCAAAACGTCAGGAATCTTTCATCGGTTTCGCACTGAACATTCCTTGCCTTTACCTCGACCAAATTCAGTTGATCAGATGACATAACATAAGGATACCCTAGTTCCTAGTAGTTGCTGTACTTGTTTTACTTTCTTCAGCAACCTAGTAGCCAAATAATCACATGATGGTATGTTTATCTTTGTAACCTTTTTCTTTCTCCCCTTTTTAGGGCAGCATGGTGCTGAGCTTACCTTCTCCCATGCAAACACATGTCGAGCCAGTGAAGTGGAAGAAAAGTAAGTGCTTCTGGTTTCACTGCAGAAGGGAGTAGAGTCCTTCAGAGTTTGCACTACATTTGCTAACTATGGTAGTTACAGGTAATCAATCTGATGAAGATAGCAAAGAACTCCAGAAACTAGTGGTGCCGGCCCGTTGTTTCGCTTTGCATTAGTTTAGTATCATCCTAAGAGCAGAGCATATAAAACAGAGCTCCGGGGCTTAAACAAAGCCTCGTATCAAGCCATTGATTAGAACATCAGAGCTAACCCGTTGAACACGCTAACCCGCGACTCAACACTCGTCCAATCCAAGCCCCTATATATTGTCAGTCCCTTTACAACTCTTTGCACCAGGCCAAGGAGGCAGCAGCAGCAGCAGCAGCCTGAGACAAGAGACCCACCCACACCAACACCCACACCCACACGCACACACACACTGGCAATGGGGGAGCAAGGCAGGGCGAGCAACAAGATCAGGGACATCGTGAGGCTGCAGCAGCTCCTCAGGAAGTGGAAGCGGCTTGCGCTCACGCCCAAGGCCGGCAGCAGGCACGGTGGTGGCGGTGGTGCTGCCGGCGTCCCGCGGGGCTTCTTCGCGGTGTGCGTCGGGGAGGAGATGAGGAGGTTCGTGATCCCCACGGAGTACCTCGGGCACTGGGCGTTCGAGGAGCTGCTCAGGGAGGCCGAGGAGGAGTTCGGGTTCCGGCACGAGGGCGCCCTGAGGATCCCCTGCGACGTGGAGGTGTTCGAGGGCATCCTGAGGCTTGTGGGCGGGAAGAAGGAGGCCCTGTCCTACAGCTCTTCGGAGCATGGGATCTTGTGCACATGATGGTGGTGGCCACTTGTTTTCCGTTGTCCATTTGTTCCCATTCTTGGTTCTTGGTTCTTCTGAGGGGAAGAGGAGAAAGAGTTCGGCGGCTATGAGCTTTACTTGTCCATTATTTGTTCCATTCTTGGTTCTCGATTCTTCGAAGGAGAAGAGGAGGAAGAGTTCATCGTCTACGAGCTTCGATGAGCTTCGGCGGTTTGTATAAGAGGGCGTAATGAAGGAGCCGCATTCTTTTTGAGTAAAAATTGAAGGATTCGAAATGAGTATCTTATCTTAGGTAAAAACTCCTTCATAAATAATAATTCACTTATTCTTTGTTCTCCAGTTCCGTATGTAAGGAATAGTTTGACCTCTGCAATCTGTCCACGCTCCGGTTGCTTTCTTGCTCAACACTTGCAATAATGAGATGTCTTTTGTTGTTGTTGCGAATATGCAATAATGAGATGTCAACTCCACGTGTCTCAGTTGATGTTCAAACTTGTGTTCGCATGTGCCATGTAGCCAGTATCCAATAGTTCTGTCCTGATTTACTTGTGAAGCAGCTAGTATTCAACACTACTAAATCAGAAACAGTTCAAGTGAAGTCAATGGTTTAATCTATCACAGTCTGCACAGATGCCTTGTTAAACTGCTTGCTGGCTCCCTCGAGACATTTTGGATGCTCTAAACTAGCACCTCTCTTGTTGTCCAATTGGTTCTTCACACATGCGCTCTGTTGATGTACCACAGAAAGAATATTGCAGCATTGTCCACTGTCTTGCAACTTGTTTTTGAGACTTGAAATGTTGAGAGCTCCAGGAAAAGGAGGGAAGACGGGCGTACAGTTTACACATGGGAAGAGAATACATAGCACAGTACATGGTAAAATTATTCAGTATGTTAGCTGCTTGTTCTCTTGGCTCCTCTCATGGACCGCTGCCCTTCCATATTGAGTGAACTCTTGGGTGCGTCTTCAGTTCAGTCGCCACGTGCTCCTTGGGATAGCATGTGCTTTGCCGGTGGCAAGGACGGTGCACGCCCGTGGACAATGTGCTTTGCGGGAACCAAAGTTGAGCCCCAAAATGCATAATCTTGGCCAAGTTGGCACGGAGGGGAAGGGATGGCTTCACGACCCTCCTTGGTGTGGACTCTGCCCTCGGTGCTCCTGAGATGGCGTCTCTCTCAGCATCTGTCTGAAGTGTTTCCCCACGTCGTGGTTTGGAACCTTCTTCCATGATTTGATGAGGGCGTCATGTGATCCGTCTCCCTCGGCGGAAGATTGGAGGCCAGGCACTCCCCCGGCGTCTCCTTCCCACGTAAGTAGGCGAACTTGAAGCGGGCAAGTATTGTACAGACTTCCTTCCTCATTCTGTTCGCACTAGTTTGATTTCTTGCTCAGCACTTGTAATAATGAGATGTCGACTCCAAGTGTCTGAGTTGATCTTCAAACTTTGGTTCCTACCATGTAGACAGTACCCAATGTTTCCGTCTTGTTTTGCTTACCCAAATGATAACGCCCACACGTCTTGATCCATATTGATTTTGTTTTTCACGAATCCTAAAGGATCTGTTAGAATCTGAGTGCCACGTCGGCATATCACGTGTGTGGGCGTTGGATAGTTCGCTCACACGCCCCGCAACACGCGGTTTGCCAGCTGCGTTATGTGGGCGAACTAGTTTCTGCCCACACAGGCACCATCTATTTCACGCGCGTATGGGCGAACTGTTTTTCGCCCACATGACACTCGTACGTTGTTGGATGTCAACTGCAGTTGCGCGTACATGACAACTAGGTAAACACACACGGCAACTATAATTCGTTGCTAGACGGCAACTGCAGTTGCACATACGTGGCAACCAGATAAACACACATGACAACTATGATTAACCATACATGGCAACTATGGTTGCACCACACATGGCAACTAGGTAAACACACATGACAGCTATTGTTTGATCATATGTGGCAAGTAGTTAATCACACACGGCACCTATGGTTTGATTACACGCATCAACTACCATAAATTAGACATGGCAACTATAGTTAATCAAAACAGAAAAAGTTGCCATGCTTTTACAACTACATTTGTCATCCCGGATGGCAACTAAATCGTCATCCCGCAGGTACCTAACGTAACTGCGTCAGGACGTGCGGGCGGATTTGCTTTGTGCCACACGCGCGAGATGGGGATGAGTAGTACTTATTGAGCGTGTAGCACGAAGTAACCGCGCCCACATGTGTGAGCAATTCTAATGTTCGCCCATACACAATCCATGTGAGTTGTCTCCTGCTCACGCGACACATGATGTGTGGACGGATGGTCTAGTATGCCACACGTGTGGGTGTTATCAGAACCCTTTGCTTAGACAACCATTCAATGAATCTGCAACCGTCAAGGGAAGTGGATGCTTTAACTTGGTAAGTACAGATATCTTGTTAAGCTGCTTCCTGACACATGGACGCCCTTGAACTGTCGTATAAGATGAGCTTCTGCGAGCTGCATTCTTTTTGAGTAAAAATGAAGGATTCAAAACAAGTGTGTTAGGCACACAAAAATACCTGCATAAATAATAATTCACTTATTCTTTGTTCTCCAATTCCATATGACCTCTGCAATCTGTCTACACTTTGGTTGCTTTCTTGCTCAACACTTGCAATAATGAGATGTCAACTCCATGTGTCTCAGTTGATCTTCAGACTTGCAGTCAGTACCCAATAGTTCTGTCCTGATTTACTTAAGCAGCAAGTATTCAATACTAAATCAGAAACAGCTCGAGTGAATTCAATGCTTTAACCTGGCACAGTTGCCTTGTTAAACCGCTTGCTGACACATGGACTCTCCCTTGAGATATCTGGATGCGCTAAACTAGCACCTCTCTTGTTGTCCAATTGGTTCTCGGGAAATTTATAGCTCGGATGTCACTGGCAGTTTTCGAAGGAAGACGCCGTACAGTTTTACACATATCAATAGCGCCAGTTCAAGGAAAATACTTGCATGGTAAAATCATTCGGTATGTTATCTGTTTGCCCTCTTGGGAATTTCTCTCGTTCGGTGACCCTACCGCGGCCGTCACCGTTCTTCCGTCCTCGGCAGTGCATTCTTCGGTAATACATCCTCGGTGGCGGAGCACGGTCCTTTGGAGCATGTGCTGTGCCGGTGGCAAGGACGGTGCACGCACGCACGCGGACAATGTGCCTTGCGGAAACCAAGTTGCGCCCCGAAATGCATAATCTTGGCCTGCCTGGCTGACCCGTTGGCACGGAGGGGATGGCTTCACGACTCTTCCTTGGTGTGGACTCTGCCCTCCGGTGCTCCTGAGATGGAGTCTCACGGTCTGTCTCAAGTGTCTCCCCTCCTCGTGGTTTGGAAGAACCTTCTCCATGATTGGCTGAGGGTTAGCCTCTCCTTCGCACGCAACCAGGCGGTCTCGAAGCAAGGAGGTATTGTACATGCTGCCTGCCTCGGCCTTTTTTTTTCACGAACACGCATTGATGCGTATCATTCTATTGATAGAGAGAAGAGAGAACGAGGGTTTGCCGATCTTGACCGCGTACTCAAGATGGCGCGGGCAAGGTAGGCAGTGAGTGAGCAGGGGGGAGGATGCTCAGTACAGAGGTTCAAGTTACAGGTAAAATCTAAAATGTTTGTACGCACTGCCTGCCTCAGCCTGACACCAGAAAACTGAGATGACGTCCCAACTATATCTGCCTGCAGTCTCTCTTCTCGTCGTGGTATGGAACCTTCTCAATGGCTGGCTGAGGGCGACATGTGATCCATCTCCCTCGGCGTTTGCCTCGACTGAGGGATGGTAGTGGTGGGAAAGCACTCCCATCCCTGGCATCTCCTCAGGCCGGCGGGGAGGCGGTCTCCGGGCGAGCAGGTATTCTACTTCATTTGGAAGAAGCAAAGCAGTACTGTAGTATGGAATTTTTAAAGGTACTAGATCATTGATGGCGCGCGTTGCTGCACCCGTCCATCTTGAATTTATGATAAATAGACACAAATGAGTTATTTCATGAAAGTTTTTCATTTTTTTTTGAAACAAGACACCCAATACAGTAGTAAATAATATTGTATTATATCCGTTCGGAGCAGGGAGTACTAAGTTGGAACGAAGCAACAAATATTTCACTCAGTGAAACAGTGGCAGCAATAACCTTAAACATTGACCCGCAGCTGGCACACTTGCATTTTTGTATCCAATCATAGGGACAAAAAAAAAATACAAATGCAATAGTTACTACGAGGATGCAAGTAAAATCTTCATATTATGTTGACGCTGCATACATGGTGCATCCCTCTGAAAAACAGGTCCTCTGCTGCACACTCCCTTGAAATGATTAGAACATGTTTTTATCACAAACACAGTAAAAAACAAAATTCTTTACTATTGAGATCTCAAGCTTTCTTTGGCCGTTCCTGCAAGTCTTACAAGCTCTCCCCAAACTACACACGAGCAGGAAAGAGGTCAAACATGCTTCTGGAAACAAGATGCATTTATACTCAACAATCGTACCAAGTAACAACAAAATAAGAATGTCGGAAGTTGATATTATCTCGACCTTCTTGAACTGCACAATCTATACCTATGGGCACAAGTACCAGCAGATTCCAAGGAATTCCTTCGTTAGCTCGATAACAATCGAGGTAAAAATCCAGGCAACAACCCAAAAGAAACATGAATACACCACGACATTTGACACAGATGGGAAACAAGATGAACCATCATCATATACCTACAACTAAGCTATGAACAGACAAGGGTACTGTACTACATTCACCTGATTAGCTGGACAAATTCGACATTCATTTTGCAGCACTATATCTTGCAGGATGTTGGCCCCTCCTGACCAATTAACCCATGTGATGGTCATATTAAAACTGTATGAGATCGTGGTGCGTATCCCGTCCCCCGCGTCGCCCTCCCTGGCGGCGACGGGGGAACCTAGACCCGGCGGCCTACAACCTTCCCACCTCCCTCCCCACCTCGCCGCCACTGGAGGAACGGCCGGCGAAGCCGGCGCCGGCTCCCGGGATGGTGGCGGCGGGGCGACTTGGCGGGATCCAGCACTCCCCCCAATCTGACCGATCCCTTTCGGTGGTGAGGGTCCGGATCTGAGGCGGCGGCCTCGCTGGTGCGGACGGCGCTTCTCCGGCGGCGGGGATTGCTCGTCGTTGAGGTAGGCCGGTTCCCCTCGGCTGCGCGGGCAGCGAGATCCCGGTG